AATCACAGTAACAATATATTTACCTACTTGATTATTCTGAGAAAACCGGGCGCTTGGTTATTTGTCGTTAAATGTAATATTTCAGGTATGTTCAGAACAAAACAGAGATTTATTAACTTTGATCGAAATATGATGGTTGTAAATAAAATATAGTATACAAACCTCGGTAGGAAGTTTCATTCCTGTCTCGAGATCATAGCTAACCTCGACGCTTCGCGTCTCGGTGATCTAACTAATCTCACGACAGGAATGAAACTCTTCCCACCTCGGTGTGTAATATACTATTTTTAGCATTGGCTGCATGTGTTGTCTTTTGTTGCAGCTATTTCATAAGGTATGTTAATAAATGAAGTACACTTTTTATGGTACCAATTATCACACAAATCACACCCTATGCTTTTTTGTCATCGTCATCTGTGTCGCTGTTTAATTCTTCGTTGCATTGTGTACAGGGTATTTTATTTTTGTTCATATTATTTTCTTTATCTTTTTCGAGTACCTTTTTTTTGTGTTCTGTTTTTCTCTATTTCACCCTTTGCTTCTCTTTTTTTAGTCTTTACAAGTGCCTTGAGCTTCTTTTCTTCGTCTCTTGCTGCTTTTGTTTGGATCTTTTCAATTTCCTTCGGTTTTTTTGCCTCGTCCAATTTCCTATATTGTTCTCTCCATTTTACAGACGATATGGCACTTGGTGTATTTTCTAAAGTTTTTAAGCTATTGCATAGCTTTTATCGCGGGCTTTGAGCGCGGCAACCGAATCAAAAAAAAAAAACGAAACCGTAACGAAAAAACCTAACACCCCCCACTCCGACCGGCACAGCGGTGCGGCGTTAAACAATATTATTTATTTATTATTTATTCAATAAAAGAAAATCGAAAAATCGAAAAATCGAAAAATCTCAAAAATCTAAAAATCTAAAAATCGAAAAATCTAAAAATAGAAAAATCTAAAAATCTAACAATCTAAAAATCTAAAAATCCAAAAATCTAAAAATCTAAAAATCTAAAAATCTAAAAATCTAAAAATCTGAAAATCTAAAAATCTAAAAATCTAAAAATCTAAAAATCTAAAAATCGAAAAATCGAAAAATCGAAAAACCGAAAAATCAAAAAATAAAAAAATCGAATAATCGATAAATCGAAAAATCCAAAAACCGAAAAATCAAAAAATCGAAAAACCGAAAAATCGAATAATCGAAAAATCGAAAGATCAAAAAACCGAAAAATCGAAAAAAAAAATTGAAAAATCGAAAAAGAAATTCCGTAAAGAAAATAAACCTAACACCCCCACTCCGACCGGCACAGCGGTGCGGCGTTGAAAGCCGTGCATCGTCTAACGTCGTTTCAGTTCGGCAGACTTCGGCACGGTGTTTGTGTGCGTGCGACTAGACGTATGCTTGTAGACTAGCTTCTAACTGCTCATAACTGATTCTATCTCTTTTAGACACAGTTTTAGAAAAATTGAATTTGAAAATGAATAATGATCCACAAGAATCCACAACAAAATATGGGACCGCCATTGACGCAGTATTTTCCAGATATTTAGAGGATATCAAGTCTCAAACTTGTTTATTATTTCAGTTACCATAAACCTATAGTTTCAATGATAAAAATTCCTGAATAACCTTCATGTATTGTAAGGTATTAAAAATATTTTAAATAATATTAACTTCTCATTTATTCAGTAAAGGAAAAAAAATTGTTTTCTTATCGGTCACCACGCTCAAAAAGTGTAACTTGAATTAATATCAAAGAAAAAAACTTGAATTTATTAATTTAAATTTTTTTCTTTGATATTTCAAAGAAAAAAAAATACTGCATAAAAAATGCTATGCAATAGCTTTACCGCGGCAGTCCCCGAGTGCCACACGTATTTTTTCATATTTTTTTAAATCTTTTTTAATTGGGTCAGGGTATTTCAAATGGTTTGCAAAAATTGTCTCGAGAGACGTATTTTTATTGTTTTTTTACCGCGTAACTCACTGCTTTTCACTTCTTTTGTATTAAAGTTAGTATTTAGGCAAACTGTAGTTTCTACGTTTTCTTTACCTATAGATGGAAATTTGTCGTCTTTTATATTATTAACAAAACATTATCTGGAGAAACTATAGTTTCCAGTGCTACTATGGCGTTATCGGTTGTAAGGGTACAAACACAGTAGAAGCAGATTTCCGCTTACCGGCAATCAGCGCCGATCTGCGCCGTTGTCTCGCGACTGAATGATACAGAGCGAATACCTTTAAAAGCGAGAAAAATCGTTTTCAGTTGCGTCTATAACATCTAGCAAATTGTCTTTTTCTGATTACCATCTGATTGCTTTGGACTCTGTTTTGACTAAACTGAAGAGAAAGAGAGTTGGTATACAATCTGTAGTATTATTGCCAGTTATATTTTGTTGTTGGTTACTTTTAAGGGGTCTAGGATCATTAGCAAGATGATTTTGGGACGTGGTTGGTTGTTGGCTTAAGGAAACGGAAGAGTAGGCATTCTGATAACCAGGAGAAGGCGCACTAGCATGGAATAATGTAGAAGATAATGGACGAGGATAAGTGTAAAGTTAATAGAAATATTGTTCCACTAATTCATGTACGCGACAACGAAAAGATAGTATTCTGTTTTCAGGTATTTTCCTTACGTGCGGCAGCAAACTTTTGAAAAATGAAAGATGTTCGTTTTATTTAAATGCTTATTTCCTTCCAATATTTATCAATCTCATTCCGATTGCAATGCAACTTCTCCCTCTTGTCCCAAATAGGGAGTCTTTCAAAAACGGTAGCAATAAGTGCTTTCTTATCCATAGGCTCTGTGCTTGTACTATAGTCTATTTTTATGTATCAGAGAGTAATGAAACAGCATTTCTAATGCAAAACTTAGTACGGTCATTTTAAATATTTTTACAGAATAATCTAAATATTTCCTAAAATTGTAATAAATGTACCTGAGCTATTACAAGTTTTGGGTCTTTTATCGGTCCTCTATAAACATAAGCTGTACAGAACAATAGGAAAAGGTTTGGACAGGCCAAAAGCCCTGTGTATTAAAGATTACATAGCCGTAAGATTTTCAATAAGTACCTATTTGCCAATTTTGTTTTATTTTAATTCCAAGAATTTCTTACAGTAATCGAATTATAAGTAGATAAATACCTTCCCAACAAATTTCACCGAAAATGCGATTATAGGTTTTCCATTTAGTAAGGAGGTCCAAGTTGTGTTTTCTTGACAGTTTACTAAATGTCGTTTAGTTGCAACTAGCAAGGTGCAGTGTGAATTCTAGTGTGATCATGGAAAATTTGGAAGGGCCGCCTAAATGACAAAAAATCGGTCCTTTAACAGTTAATGAAAAAACATTATTATTTAATTGTTTTAAATCATTTACAGACAAACATTTATGTAAAAGTGTTGATGACACAGTGGAATTAGTTAGTAGTACGCTTGGTGTTGGGAAATCTACGATTTACAGAGTTGTTAAAGAAGAGAAATGTGGCGAGTTTCAAACAGCACGTAAAGCTCCAGGAAAACCAAAATTTCAATTAGAAAATCTTTTGAAAGAAAGACTTCGAAGGAAAGTGCATGCGTTCTTCTTTAGAAAAGAATTTCCGACAGTAGACAAAGTTCTTGCCACGGTTCGAGATGATAAAGATTACCCTGAAATGAGTCGAAGCACACTATGGAAACTTAAAAAAAAAATAGGTTTTCTATGGAAAAAGCATTCCAGAAAGTCTATTTAAATAGAAAGAATCGATATTGTAGTATGGAGAAGAAATTACCGAAGGACTATAAAAGAAATGAGAATTGGCTAAATTCAAAGAATATTAAGTTCCATCCCGGTTCTGTGAGAAAAGAACTATATCATTTGTGTTTCCTTCATAAAGAGAAATTCAAAAAATATGAAATTGCAAAAAATCGTGGGATGACGATGGTTAGATCATCACCATATCATTGCGAAGTAAACCCGATTAAACTGATATGGGCACAGATAAAGGGAGAAGTTTCAAGAAAAAATAATTCTTTTAAAAGTAATTCTGTAACATGAATGATCTTGTGATATATGGTATTCAAACTTGACTCGGAACCGTCTAGAGATTGAACCAAAACGTCTTGAGATGAATCCAGAAAACGTCCAGAGATAAACCCAAATCACGTCTAGAGATGAATCAAACAACTTTCTTCAGATTGAACCGAAACAACGTCTAGGTATAAATCCATAAAACATCTAGAGATGAATCAAACAACTGTCTTCAGATTGAACCAAAATAAAACCGTCTATATATAGCCATGCTAAAAAAGGGTTAAAATGTTAAGACAGGAAATAGGAAATTTAAACAGGATTTAGATAAAATGCTTTAACTATTAAATGAACAATTTAAAACTATAAAATAATTTCACAGACCAAAATTAATATGAAAAATCTTATTTAATATATTTAAACGTAGTAAAGCATAATATCTTATTCCCAAAAAATAATATATAAATTAATCATGTGTTATCCTCTGTTGATATTGAGGTTATGTTCAAAAATTGGCAATTTATTTAAGAAATCCTTGTACAAAATACATATTTTCAACAAAATATTATTAAAACTTACCTTATAAATTCAGACGGATTCTACGATAAACAAAAATCATCCAGTACATCGGATGACCAAGATGAATTAAAAATGAAATCTAGTTGATTGTCGCTGACGTCCAAATCAAATAAATCTCACAAGACGACAAATGACATTTGAGTAAGAGGTGGTTGTGTCGAAATAACGAATAACGGTTCCAACCGTTACACCTATTATCATAGGTGTTAAGCCGATTTTACACAAGTAAAAATAATTAAATAGGCAAACCAAATCAAAATGTTTCACCTTACCCCAAATATTAACAAAATAATTAAATTAACGTTCTTTTCCGAACACTAAAGAACAAAACCGCAATCTACCACATGCCACAATTATCATTCCCAATTTTTAACTTTTAAATACAAAGCTTTTTTAAGGCAGGAAAATAATGCAAAAAAATTAAAAACTTGTATTTTCACTTCGCTTTCATATGCATAATAAACAAACACTATAAATTACAACAAATTCTCCATTTCATTCATAAACTGCTTATAAGCGTCATCTTTGGTATGACCAGCTAGGGCATTTTGATGCATATTAAATTCCTTTTGTTTCATCTCTCTTGCAAACGCACTAGGATTTTTAGATGGTTTCTTATCTTCTCTTTTCACTCTCAATGCAGATGGTACAAATCTAGTCACGTCAGCGCTGAGATTTCTAATCTGAGGTTTAGCAGATATTGTAGCTCCTTGTTTCGTCGACTCTGACCTAGAACATAAGAATAATTAAAGAGTAAGAAGGTTATTCATATTTTTAAAGTGCTATATTCTGTAGGGGACAGGAAAAATTTAGTTTTTACTACAATTGAAAGGTCTAATAAAAATTGCAATTAGTCGCAAGCCAAAAAGAAAAACAATTGATAGTTACAAAAATGTCAGTTAATGTAGTACAAAAATTACCTAACACATTATGTTGGATAAAGGATTCAAAACGTTAAAACATAATTGAAGACACAAGTGGACAAAGGTGTCATGTCACATTTTTTTCAAAAAATTACTTTTATGGCCTAATACTTAAAATATACTATATTTTTTGTTAGTGATAGCTCTGATTTCCAATTTTGATAAATAATGGCTATTCATCAGATAGGAAGGTATCATGAGCTGTTTAAAAATATTAATATGCCCTGGATATACATTTATTCATACTATGATTTTGATATAATAATTTTTGGGAATAGTTGTGAGTTTAATAAAATATTAGTGTTAAAAATTTACGAGTTTTTCTTGTTAAAAATACCAAATAATTAACAGTTGGTCCTTTGAGTCACGGTAGACGAATTCTGTGGAAATATCAATCCATTAACAATTGTTATTAGAAATGCTGAAAGATCTGGAAAATGTCCGACAAATAATTCAAAAGGCAGACGAAATTACTTGCAAAAATATCCATTTCCTTCTTTAAGGACAATTTCCAAAAAGATCTGCAGGTAAAAGGAAGATTTTATCATTTTCTGGTTATGATTTCACAATACCCTCTGAAGAATACATCTTACACCTAACTACAATCTGCAAAACGCTTAGTTCCATAACTTTGGAAGAAACTTGTACCTTATTTAATTTTGATTTTAAAAGTTTAAAGAATACTAATGAATTAGCAGAAATTCTAATTAAATATATAACTCAAATTACTAAAAAAGCCTGAAGCAGAAATTAAAGTAGCAAGAGCAACAAAAGCTCAAGTGTACATACAAAATGCAGTTCAAAAATTAGCATGTTATCAGAAAAACAAAAAAAAAAAATAATAAATACAAGACGGAATAACTAAATGCAAAAAAGATTTATTAAAAAAAGAAGAAAATAAAATAAATTTGGAGTGATATACAAGAACTCAAAGAAAATCCAAAGACGCCAGAATTGCAATTACTATTAAAAACCAAAGAAATTCAATTCAACAAAGAGAATAGAAACCCTTAAAGATTTATGAATTTTGAATAAAGAAAAGCAGTTCAATAAACAAAAGAAAAATTTCAATATGGTTGAAGAATATTCTTCTGAAAATGAAAGTATTCAAGAATTTAAAAAAGAAAATTAACAAAGAGTTCAAGAATGGGCTGATAAGTAATCAAGAGCCATAAGAAAACTCAAATTCACAAAGCAAAATAGAAGAATTAACAAAATCAATAAATTCCCTATTACTTCGCCAAACTGTTGCCAGTAAACTTAGGAAACTCGATGGCTCATCATGTTTGGAATGACGAATTTTCTATTACCAATATAAGTTATCCAATGAAACTTATTCTTTTACACCTGCTGAAAATGTTTTAAGATTTAACGACAGTCTCGATGGAGATGCTAGAAGCACTGTTGAAATGTTATTAATATCAGCCAAGAAGCCAGACGATATCTTAGATATTCTTAACAACAAATACGGTAGACCTAAATTAATAAACACAATAGCTTTTATCCACCGTATTCAAACTTCCAGCAGTAAAAATTTTTACATGAAATTTTTTTATTTGGTACAAATATGTCAATACGCTAGTTCGGTGTGATGTAATTTTGGTTCCACTGACATTTAATTCTAAACAAACTTCTAACAAAAACATAAATTTGACATATACGTTTTTACTGTTTTTAGTTTATTTCTAAATATTGTTTACAGGTAATAAAAAATAGTTTAAAGGTATGTAATTGGTAACTAAACGATTGTATATTTGATGCATGTTATCTACTTACTTTAGAAATATATTTATAAAAGTAAAAAACGATATAATTTAGGTAAACAAAACGAAGAAAACACACTCAATAATCTACTGTCACTTTAGTCAGTGGAACCATAATTACATTATCACTGAACTAGCGTCACATACTTTTACTATACGGAGAATGGTTGCACTGCGCAGCTTTCTGAGTGCCTTTTAAAAGGAGATAGAAAACTCCGCCATTTTGAACCCTTATTACGTATTGCCTACATCTTGGCGCAATATTTTTAATAGGTGCGTTTTAATCATCCGCTTCTGCTTCGGAATTGTCGGTTTTCTTGTTTTAATCTGACAGGTTAAAACGACTAAACCGACAATTCCGGAAGCAGAAGCGGATGATTAAAACGCACCTGATATTTTGCTGGCTGCTGTCAGTGTCAGTGAATATTATTTTTGAAGTCACAGTTTATTGCTAAAGAATCAGTTAGCTCACTCGGACCAGTTGAAAGTTCCAAAATAACATCCACTCCAGGGATACAAATTCAGGATACGCAGAAGACTGCTGTTTTATTATAGGCGGTTGTCATATATTGTATTATCCGAGTTGCACAGTGTATAAACTGAAACATTGAGATCCAAAGTGCCGACGCAGAGTGAGCGATCTGATTCTTTGGCTGTAAACTGTGTCACAGGGTTCAAAATGGCCGCGCCCTATGTTGGGCGTGTCGGACCTCTCTCTTGCCTCGTATAGTAATCAAAGTATGTGACTATCGTATTGCAATAAACAAGATATCATAAAAAATGGTAATCATATTATCCAAGGTTTTATTTCGTAATTGATCCCAAGATACCTGATCAAGAAATTGTCCAATTCCTACATATAGTGCAGGGTATAGTGGCGCATTCGTTTGCAAAATTGTTTTAATTCGTAATTTTATTTTTAAAATGTCCGGAAGGTTTTCTGATTATAAAAGTGTAAGATGACACTCGATATCTGTTGATGTTATTGTTTAAACAACGAAAAATTAATTAAGCCAGAAAAAATGCATTTTTTGCAATGAATTAATTTTTGTTATATTCTTTAGGATATTTCGAATAAAAAAGTTCTTACGCCCATCATCGTATCTTTAACCCTTTAATTGTTATGAATGTTTTAAAATCCGAAATTGACGAAAATTCTAATTTTTTTGAATTAAATAATATACCTTAAAATTTAAAATGCTATAATTTTAAATTTTTTACCGAATATTCAAACTATAATAAACAAAATAACCTAAATAGATTTTTTTTACGTTGTAACAGTATGCTTCCTACGCGCGTGTACTTTTAGAGAGAAGTACTTCTATCTCACTTCCAACTCAATGTATAAGATGGGTAAGAGAAAGCCCGATAACGCGCTGAATCAATTTTTTGCTGTTTTTCAGAGGTAATAAGTTTAAATAAATTATTATTAACATTTTTCATAACACTTTGTTATATTTGCCGATTAATAGTTTTGTATCATGTGATTTTTTTTACTTTTTTAGATACTTTTGATAACTTTTTTATTCATTCATATGTTAATGTACCAAATTTTAGATTGTTCTTTCTTAAAAAAAAAATGATAAATTCTAAAAAAAATCTAATGACTAAGTATTTTTTTTATTTATTGTCCTATTTAACTAACTTTGTTTAGTTTTTGAAATATCCATGTAGTTCATTTTAAGTGTAACACACACAAATAAAAAAATAAATAACAACATAAGGATTCACAAAGTACTTAATGGTACTTAATACTTACAAATATGTACCATTATAGCATATTTGGACCCCATTATGTATTTGTGAATTAAGTGACATTTACGTGTTTTCGAGAAACAGGAAATATGACAAATATGAAAATGTCGTTTCAGGTGTCCTTAAAATCGGTAAAATGGGGAATTTTAATTAGGAATGAGTTTTGTAATATAATTTTGAATGATTATTTAAGAATGGCGCCATTTACTCGATTTTTTAATTTTACCATTTAACTTGTTATTGCATAATACGGCCTATTTTTGTTTTCCCCCTAATTAAAAAATATTTTAAATTTACCTGTTTATTAATTGTGGAGCTGCAGATAATACATTAGGCTGGATAATCTGGGGTGGCCCGGGTATCCTAATCATCCTGGGTGCAACTTGTGGCAGCCTAAGAGGTAACCTGGGAGGTAATCCTGGTGGGGGCCCTGGAGGCAAAAGAGGCCTGCCAGGAGGAGGCCCAGGAGGTAATCTTATATTAGTTGGAAACATATGTGGAGGTGGAGCTGAAGTTTGTGTTGGTATACCAGGTAATTCAGTACCTGGAGGTACAAGGGGTTCAATATGAACAGTAATTTTGTTCCTTGCATCATTTTCTCTGTTCAACTCCATCTTCTTTTGAACTGTTTCCATTTCTTTTATGAATTCATCTACATTCTGTCCAGAGAGTGCCACCATTTTTTGCTGCAAAGATGTTGGTTTAACAGTTGATGATTCCTCTGCATTTGTGTCATCTATTTCAATTTCTTTAGGTTCTTCAGGTTTTGTTCCAAATTCTTCAACTTCTCCTTCATCATTTATTTCAGGAGGAGGACCTGGTGGACACCCAGGAGGTTCTCTTACTGGTTGGCCCTTTTAAGAGAAAACTATTTTAAATAATAGTAAAACAATAAAACTAATCGATATAAAAAAAATAGTGATTCACAAAAAAGCAGGTTTCGTCTAACGAGGGCATATCTGTGATAACTATAAACGGACACTTAAAAAGAATTGCACCCTGTGACATGAATGATTTTTCTTAGGCCTATTTTGAAAAAAAATGTGACATACCAATGCCTGCAATTTAAGAGCTGTTGCAATTGAGTATATAGTATGCTCTTGTTTTCTTTCAGTTGTTGGTAATGGAATTTGGGCTGGAATACTTGCTGTAGTTGTCGGTTGTTGTGGTAACTGGGGTAAAGGAATCTCATCAACAGTGACTTGTTGAGCACTTTTTACTGATTCATAGAAGGCTACCAGCTGTGCTCGCTTTTGTTCGTACTCAGTTTGTCTTCTCTTTAGTTCTGACCACTTTTCTGGATCATCTTTATACTAGAAATATTGTGATATTAAAATCGGCTAATAATTAATTAGTTGCTACACTTACATACATACTAAGAACTCTGTCTAAAGTATCTCTAAGTTTCTTTCTCTTGTCTTTCAGCACTTTTTCATTTAAAGGAGACGGCTGATTAACATTGAATTCTGAAATTAAATTAAAAGAATACTTGAACATACAGATAGATCTGAAATCGACACTTTGTTAACGAAAAAATCAAATGACCACAAGTGTGTGACTTAGAGCCAGGAAAAAGCCTTTCAAAAAATGTATTATTGTACTTTGTACTTTTTCGAAAAACATTAATATTAGACTTAAATAAATATATGAGACGGTCTCCTGAATTCAAAAGTTTCAACATACCAAGAGGGAATTTTGATAATATACTGATTTTGTGATTGTGGTACCAGGTGCTAATGATTTTGACATGTCCAGGGTCTCTAAATTCAGAAATATTTGTTCGAAACTGAAACTATGTACCCACACTAACTTTATGTTCCAATTTTGAGAAGACACAATGACAAAAACCTAATCAAGAAATTTAATTTGAAATTAGACCATTTTCTGGATAGGTTGGACAATTATACAGAAGGTAGAATGTTATATGTAAATATCAATTCTGAGCAAAGTGCCAAACTAAAACTGTCATACGAAAAATTAGTGTAGCAATAAGTAATAGCAAAAATGTCTTTAAAAATTTAAAATTTATTAACACTGTGAAATCTAATAATACAAACTGTAACATGTCTACTAACTTGGGCTCTATAGATTTGACAGGTTTAAATAATTTTACTGTTCTTCCTATTAATAATAGTAACTTGGGCTCTATAGATTTGATAGATTTAAATAATTTAACTCGTTTTGATAATAGTAACTTGGGTTCCATAGATTTGACAGGTTTAAATAATTTAACTGTTCCTCCTTTTGATAACGTATCTATCACACCCACAGTTAATAAGGATTTTTCTAGAAAGTCTCAAACTCAAGATCCAAATTAAAAAGTACAATAAATATATTATATTTAAATGCTGAGAGCTTGGTGGCCCACAGTGATGAAATCTCTAATTATGTGTTGTCAAAAAAAAAACAATTTTAGTATGTGTTTCTGAAACTTGCTTGGCTGAGGATATTTATGATTCAGAAATAGACATTGATGGGTACAAAAATTATAGAGTTGACAGTGAAAGTAGACACACAGGGGGTGCTTTAATTTATGTACAAAGGTTTTAAAATATTTTAAATTTTGTATTCGAAAAATTTGTTGGATTGTTTCTGTGATGGTAATATTAGGAAACAAAAATGTTTTAATTGTATCTTTATATAGGTCACCTAGCAGTAGCTGTATAAATTTTTTAGATTGTTTTAGCACTTGGGCTGAAGAAAATGTATGTGATAATTCTCAAATAGTTATTGTTTCTGGAGATTTTAATATTGACCTGTTAACTAAAAACACTTACGTGCGAAATTAAGTGATATTTTGATTGATACTGGATTACAAAATATTGTTACAGAATGCACAAGACCAAATAGAACTGGTGAAGGTACACTTATAAATTTAGTTATAACAAATAATGACTCGGTTTCAGCTGAGGTTATTAAAACACCAAGAATTTCAGATCATTTTATGCTTTTAACAAATGCGCTATTAAATAGTGATGGGCGATCTGTTTTTGAAATTGAAAGCAAAGGTAAGGACTTAAATTTTGATTTAATTAATAACAAACTTTCAACATTAGCATGGAACAATCATATTTATGACATTAATGCAAAATATGATAATTTTGTAACAAATATTTTAAAGGTATTAGATTCTGTAGCACCAAAAAAACAAATAAAAATATTTCCTAAATACAAAAAATGTGGAATGATAGATATTCATTGAAAATTAAAATACTGGAAAATTTAAATTTAGCACTTTTCTACAATTTTTCCATTACATTCCATTTTAGAAAAATCATGTATAAACAAAAATTATAGAGATCGATATCGCAAAAACTTTTATTTCAACAATTTTCATAAAAATCGGAATTTTGCACATTTTGTCAAATTTCTCGAATACGGACCATTTCAGGAAATTTTGACAACAAGCAAAAATTATAGATAATAATATTAGAAATAACTTTTATTTAAACAATTTTTTCTCCAAACATAAATAACAGATATATTCAATAAAATATAAAAACGCCCCCCCATAAAGTACCCCCCAGATGTTCCGACTTTGTCCAAAATATAATCAGTTCACGTCAGGCCGAAATAAAACTTAAGTTTAAAATTTAATGTTTTTTTCTTTATCCGTTTTTGAGTTTTCTTCAAATTTCGAAATTTACACATTTTCTCAAATATCTCGATTACGGTCCATTTTAGAGAAATTATGTATAGGATAAAAATTGTAGAGAATTATATTACAAATAACTTTTGTTTGAACAATTTTTATAAAAAAATATTTTTTTACATTTTGTCAAATTTCTCGAATACGGACCATTTTAGGAAAATTTTGTATAGAAAAAAATTTTTAGATGATAATAATATAAGAAGTAACTTTTATTTAAAGAAATTTCTTCCCCAAACGTAAATAACAGATATATTCCATAAAATATAAAAATGACCACCTATAAAGTACCCCCCCAGATGTTCCGAATATGACCAAAATCTAATCAGCACATTGGACGCTGGAACAAAGCTTAAGTTTGAAATTTGGTGTTTTTCTGTGTATCGGTTCATGAGTTATGCGACACACAAACACACACACACACACCCACCCACCCACGCACGCACGCACGCACCCACGATCACACACACACACACACACACACACACACACACACACACACACACACACACACACACACACACACACACACACACACACACACACACACACACACACACACACACACACACACACACACACACACACACACACACACACACACACACACACACACACACACACACACACACACACACACACACACACACACACACACACACACACACACACACACACACACACACACACACACACACACACACACACACACACACACACACACACACACACACACACACACACACACACACACACACACACACACACACACACACACACACACACACACACACACACACACACACACACACACACACACACACACACACACACACACACACACACACACACACACACACACACACACACACACACACACACACACACACACACACACACACACACACACACACACACACACACACACACACACACACACACACACACACACACACACACACACACACACACACACACACACACACACACACACACACACACACACACACACACACACACACACACACACACACACACACACACACACACACACACACACACACACACACACACACACACACACACACACACACACACACACACACACACACACACACACACACACACACACACACACACACACACACACACACACACACACACACACACACACACACACACACACACACACACACACACACACACACACACACACACACACACACACACACACACACACACACACACACACACACACACACACACACACACACACACACACACACACACACACACACACACACACACACACACACACACACACACACACACACACACACACACACACACACACAAACACACACCTACATTTAAAGTCAAAGTGCCAGATTTCTTAATACATATTTCTCCAGAAACAGTAACAACCTATAGAATTTTAGTTAGTTTTAATTGTATCTAAATTATCTGTTTTGACTTATATGTATTTTTTTTTATTTATTTATTTTATAAAATACAAAAATAGTTACATAATTATGTTACAACCAATTAATATTATCATAAGTTATATACCTTTTCTTGGAGACACCTAGATGCTATATGCATCTATATGTGTCTCATTATGATTTGTATATTTTTACTAAATTTGTATATTGTGATATTAGCAAACTAGCTAAATAAAGGAAATAATAATACATGATATATATTTATATGTAGCATGTGGAGGGTGGGTTACCCCCATCGCTCGTAGGCCTCATTAGGCCCATTGTGCATCCTAAATTAACAAGGCCTCTCAGCTTGTCAGCCAGCCTACAGATTTAACAAAGTTGACATAACCGATAGGTGCTTCTCTTATATCAGCTGGTATTAATCAATACTAACTGAACACAAATCTAATAAATAGAGCGTCAAGCCATCGTAGAGAATATGCTCTTGTTCGCACCCCCTACAGAGTGGGGATTCTAACAGCCCCATAATATGGAGATGCTTTTGTACTTGGCAATGACCAGCCAGAATGCCTGTGATCAGGTACAGGTTCTGTCTAGTCATAGTCAAGTATTTTTTTGCTGTAGTGTTGTTCGGGATAACTTAAAAGCTCCCAGCAACTCTGCAGCTTCTTATTTCGTTCAATAGGTATTTAATTATTTAACTAACCCATCTCATCAATTTTCTCCATTTCTTCTAAAATCTGTTGTGGATCCTTTCCTTTTAAGACGGCCGCTCGGACCATCTGCCGTTGTTTCTTATTCTTTTTTAATTCCTGTTTCCTAGCCTCTTTTCCTAAAAGAAAAATATATTGGGCTTAAAAATTTAGTGATTTTTTTTAAGTACTCACTGGCTTGGTCTGTAGGATTCATGTATTTGCCACTTTTAGTGGTATTAATCGAACGTCTACCCATTTTATGTTAATATATGTGTACTTATTCTATATTTTTGTTTAATTTCTCTTATTTTCAATTCTGAAGTCTCCTAGCTGAAAAGCATGTTATGACTTTTGACCGATATAACAAATGTGACAGATGACAGATGTAGACAGTTTTCTTCTTTGGTATTTCAGAACTACTACATATCTACAAATACTCAGACTATTAAAGATCAATCAGTTTACCAATTTAATTATAAAAGAAGAATATGTGGCTGCCCAAAGGAAAAGACGCGGGCCTCTAAGAATAAAATAACCCAATTTTTTAAAATAAAAAATTTTAATTTTCCAAAATAATAGTAATCAAATACATACATCAAACCAAATAATATTGTAATAATATAAAAGAACGAAAAAAGTTTTGGTAAATATCTAGTTGGAGCTTTTTCGAATTTTAAGTATTTTTTTTGTGAAACAAGTATATAAACAAGAACTTGTTATTGGAAGTTTGTGCAGATGAATATTAACAAACTTACGGGATTGGTAATGAATAGGGAGGCTGCTGGGTGGGTAAGCAACGTTAAAAGTATCCTACTTTATAACATTTCTCCAGTTTTTTTATTTATTAACTAATTTACTGGAAATGGAGTCAATAGAGGAGCTGTGTGGGTAAAACAACGCCAATATTGACCTTTTAAATTTGTCAGGACAAGGAAGAAAAATGTGTTTTTTTAAGACAATTATACACCCATTTTTTCTCATTATTTATCTAGCAAATTCCTTCGACTTTATTATTAATTTTAGCATCAAAATGTTCGTAAAATTATCGTTCATGTTTCTCCAACCATCCGTCCCGATTTAGGTGGGACAGTCCTGATTTTAAAGCACTAGTCCCGCTTTAATATGTGTCCCGATTTTTTCCCACTTTAGGCCCGACGAAAAAAAAAAATATATTTCATTTAAGCCTCCTAACCACAATTTTTTTACAACAACGCAGTCCATTAAAGATTTCCTTTTTAATTGCTCTTCAATGAATTGCAAATAGAATTTGTCGAAATATCTCCATGTTTTTGATTTGTCTCACTTTCTACTTTTTAAAAAATGGTCACATTAGTATTTCGTTATTTCCATGTTTTATTAGTATGGAGTGGGATTCCTTCTAAACTAGCTGGTTTAGCTTGGAATGAGTTCTGTGATATTATTAACAATGTGTCACTGTGTTTAAATCAGTTATTTAGAGAAACCATTCTATTTCCACAGTGAAATATCCTGATAACTGAGATATAGGTACATTTTGTTTCACAAATGGAGTTCCACTGTATTTAATAGAACAGTTTATTTGGATGAATGTTATTTGTGATGCAAGTGTTTCATAATTATTGACTTACAAACCAAAGAGATTTACAACTGGCATCGTTGCTATAATATTACTCCCTAATTAACTCCCTGAAGCCAAGTAAGCATGTGTGGGGAAGAGAGTGCTACTACTATCTATTTGCTGTGATGCTCCAGGGCTACTCAAAGATGATTGATGGTGCCATTTGACTTACAGGTGAGGAAACCCCAGAAAACCTCGCCCACCATCATAACAATTAGTTGTATTTGTGATCCCAATAATCATATTGTCAGTAAAATACTAAGACACAGCTACCTAGCTAATCTTCGCCTTTTCAGGACAAATGTTGTAGATACATTTGTTAAATAAAGATCTTTTATTATTAAACAGAAGCAATAACTGTATTATGTGACAATAAATATTAGTAAATCGAACAAAGATATTCAAATATCCAACATTTTTGAGACTTGGCAACAGCGTTCAATGTACTATTTATGAATTAACATAATATATCGAAACAATTAGGAACCCTAAAATTTCGTCAAGGTGATTTTATGACCTGATATGGTAACACTTTTTTTTATTTAGAAAATTAATTGTCATGTTATTATGCATTTGCACAAGATATGTTACTTAGGTTTTTTGTTTACAATAGTAATACCTATGAGAACATATGCTTATTTTTCTCCTAATTGAAAAGAGCTCAAACTAGATATGACCAAAGATTTGTTATTTCATGCTTCCTCTATGAGCATAAGATAAATGAATGAGTTTTGTGTCAAGTGAGAAAAGAAACAAATTTTAAAGTGTTAAAAATGATAATAAACAAAGATACAACAATAACAGGCCAACGAGTTATTTTAATCCCTTATAAGAAAGATCACGTATTAAAGTATAGTATTTATTTATATTTGTTAATTTGCATATTTTATTTTTTTTTTAATTTTAGATACCATGAGTGGATGAAATCAGAATCACTGCAGCAGTTAACTGCATCCGAACCCTTAACTTTGGAGCAAGAATATGAAATGCAAAAATCATGGCTCATGGATGAAAACAGTAATATTACTCATACTTTTAAAAATATTCTCGTTAAAAACACTTAAAACGTATTGTTTACTTCTATTAATACTTGAGTACAAATTATTTTTTATGGATTGTTTCTCCATAAATATTTAGTTTGTTGATATCAGCTTTTAAGTTTGGGTGATCAGAGGAAACATTTTGAATATAAGTAATTAGAAAAAGAAAACCAAGTAAATCTCAAAGAAGGCAGTAGAGCACCTAGGCAATTTTAAGATGAAACCTATGCCATATTTTTAGCTATTTTTATACCCTATTCAAAAATTTTATGCTCCTCGTTTTTTGCAAAAACTCAAGGTGCTCTGCTAGCTTCAAGCGAAGTCAGCAAAACACCTCAGTTTTTTGAAGTTTTTTTTCCAAAAACAACGACACCATATTGTTAAGCTATTTTTAGAATCTTAAAATATTATAAAACTTTACTATAAAATTGCTACTTTTTAATATTACAGGGTGCTTTGTTAGAACGAAGCCAGCAAAGCACCTTCGTTTTTTCAAAGGTTTTTCATAAAACATTCCAAAAAAATTGCCATTTGTAAAAAATACGGCGTGCGTTGCTAGTCTCGGACGAATCCAGTAGAGTACCTCGATTTTTTAAAGCTTTTTTTAGGCTCTTAAAATATAAAACTTCAAAAAAATAAGCAATTTTTAAAAAATACAGTGTACTTTGCTAGTTGAAATATATACTGTTGAAGGATTCTTGAGGATATACAGCAGACGTCCTCAGAATGGCATTATCTTTAATAAATCTTTGTTTCGTTTCTTTTTTTTTATATATATATATATATAGTCGTCACCACCCTGAAAAGGAGGATAACTCCTATAGCAGGGAAATAGGAAAATCAAATGTCCTAGAAAATGTAAAACACTTATGAAAAAGTCAATATACAAAAAAATGTATATAGTCGTTGGAATAACAGACGGATATCCCTTGTTTCAGCCTCAACTAGGGGAGGTTATGTAGTGTAGTCCTACTAGAATAGAGCCGGATTAATACCAGCGAACTACCCTTTATGTTCAGATCTATCTACGTTGCGAAGATTGAGAGATAATTATCTAAGATATTCCAACCCTGCAATAATATCAGGCATATTCGTGTATCTGTAACGTGTGGAGGGTGGGTTACCCCCACGGCACTTAGGCCTCATTAGGCTCATTGTGCATCCTCTTGAGATGATAGGCACCTCCTAGCTCGTGAGCCAGCCTACAGATTTCATGTAGTTGATAACGTCGCCAATAGGTGCTTCTCTTATATCGGCCGGTGTTAGCCGATACTCGCCGAACACAAATCTTCTAATAAATGAGAGCGTCGAGCAATCGTAAAGGATATGCTCGATGGTCTCATCTTCTTGTTCGCACCCTCTGCAGAGTGCGGATTCTGAGAGGCCCATAATATGAAGATGCTTCCAGTCAGAATGCCTGTGACTAGGCGCAGATTCTCTCTAGTCAGTCTATTTGTTTGCTGCAGTGTTGTCAGGATAACTTAAGAGCTCCGTGGCAACTCTGCAGTTTCTTGTTTCATCCCATCTTTCCTTGAATTTCACGAGGAAATGTTCTTTAATTAAGTCTGTCACTACAGATTTTGTCAGGCCAATAGAAGGGACAGGTTTAAAAAGTATTTGATTGGCTGCATTCTTGGCTAGTGAATCAGTAAGACGGTTACCTTTCGATGTGGCGTGACCTTTGATCCATCTTAAAGTGACCACATTGTTGATGGATACTTCGGCCAAAGCTTCGCGACATTCTAGTACTAACCCTGAGTAAATTCGTGGTCTGTTCAGAGTGAGTAGTGCTTGCAGCAAGGTGGTTTTTTTATTCGACCATCTCTTCCTTCGAAAGTGGAGAGGGGGTGATCTCTTGTGGCTCCTCGGAGTTTTCTTGCTGGAGGTCATCGATTGCCATTTTTTTGGCTCGACGCCCTCCACTGTTTGCTTAAATTGGGGGGAAGAGGGTCATTTACAAAGGAGTCTTCACTGGGCCCCACTTTAGCCTCTTTTTTCGACCTTTGGCCTTATAATCAATGAGGTGAACGCATAGCTCATCTTCATTGATTAGGGTTCCCATGTCTTCGTCTCCGATGCCGAAGAGATGGCCATTGGGGTCTTTTTTTATTTCATGGTGGAAGGTGCACCATTTCGCCACATGTAAGTTTGGGTTTTGCCCCTCAAGTCGCCTGAGCACAACCTTATTCTCGTCAAGGTCAGCTTGCGCTTCCCCTGGGATCCAGAGAGAGGCTTTGGGGAGCTCGTCCATCTTTACAACAGCGAGTGTTGCTCCTTCCCATATTTTTAAGGTTGGTACCTTGGTTTTTAGCCATTCCAACGTCAGGTCATCGTCGCACGTTACTCTGATGATTTCACCAGAGTGCGTCCAAGACCTAAAGGTGGGTGGCTTGATTTTGCTGCAGGAGGCGGACAAAATTGTTTTGTCTAGCTCTCCCATCAATGTCTTTTTTACAAGGATTTCTCTTTCGGTAGTTATCTTACCATAAGAGTTATCCTTGTCTATTATAGCTACTTTCAGGTGGCTCGTAGCTGCATCCTTGTAGCTTATCCCAGACAGAACTTTTTGATCCTGTCTGGGTTTTTCCCCTTCCGGAACGTTACCTCGGAAGAGGTGTGAGATCGCGGCCTTTTCTTGTGCCTAGTTGCGTCGTGTTCCTGGCCTCTTGTGGAGGCAGAACTAGCGTCGCTGCCTAAGGATTTGATTAAGCCGCTTTTGTGTATTTTGGAGTGAGGGAGTTTGCTGAGGGTGGCAGTTGCCGTAGCATTGCCTGCCTGCAGCTTATCCCTCTTCCTCCTCTTTGCTTCAAATCCAGAGATTCTCTTGCCTCTCCGGGGCCTGTTAGTTGGAGGTGAACTGTGTCCATCCTCCTTTTTTGGAGGGTGGACGTCGCTGTCCAGCCTCCTGTGCAGGAGCTGAACATTGTTGTCCAGGCTCCTTTACAGAAAGTGAGCGCTGACATCCATCCTCCTTTTTTTGAGGTGATCGTCGCTGTCCAGCCTTCTGCGCCGGAGTTGGACTTAGTCGTCCAGTCTCCTTTGCTAGAGGTGAGCGTTGACGTCCAGCCTCTTCGGGTTTTTGTGTTGTTGATTCCATATGGTTCCCACGAGTAGCTAGAAAAGGAAAGGTCGACCGCATGCGCCGACAAGGCTAGTTACAAAAGGGTGTCGCCAGGGTCCCTCAGGGGAGCGTTTAGTGCCGCATCTGCCCCTACGACAATTCATCCGTCGGCACGTTACCTTACACCTTAGATTGGTGAAGTTGGTTCGCGGCGGTAGCTTTCGCAAAAGATTTTGAGGGATTTTAGGCTCTCGCACTCTACTTATGTCTACCATTACCCAGGGAAAACTTGGCCGTTCTCCTATCCACCACCCGGAGACGCGCTCAGTTGGCACTCAACCGCTGAGGTGACCTTCTGTTAATCATTTGTTGTAGAGGCAGTTAATAAAATTCTATTCTATATGTAATTTGGTTTTTCAGAGTTAACTTTCATCATTTTGGACAAAGAAAAATTTGCAGAAACTAACAATGAGATAGGTAACAACCCTATATAATTAATATTCTTAAACAATAACCTAATTTGCATTTCAGAATCTATGATCGGCGATACAAACTTATTCTTTGGGAATGCAGACGATAGACTTTGTGCAGAAGCAGAAATTATGATAGCAGAAGAATGGGCTAGAAGAAGAAAGTGTGGCTGGGAAGCCATGTTACTTATGATGCTATATGGAATAGATAATTTAGGTGTAAAACAGTATATTGTAAAAATTTCATACTTGAATCCCATAAGTATGAAAATGTTTGAAAATATGGGCTTTGTTGAAGTAAGCAGATGTGATATTTTTCAAGAAATAACTCTGAGTAAATTAGTCGATCAAATGTGGATAACTTGGATAAGGATGACTTTAGGAGATTTTAAAGTAGCAAATATGTCCTAATAATGAAATAAACGAATAATTTAGTCCACTCCATCAATTTTTTACATTTATTACACCTTTCGAATATAATCTTTGATAATTGTTATATACAGAGGTTTATTTTTTTTAAAGTTATAGGATTTATTTTTCTAATATACACAGAGATAAGAAATGTATTTTTATTTACATTTAAAGACTATCAAACACACATTTTTCATTGTTTGATAAAAAAAACTATTAAATTAATAAATGCAATTATAAAGGTTAAACCATAAGTTAACTTTGTTTAAATTTAAAAATTAAACTATTTTCTTTGTTCTAAAAATTTTCTTTTTCCTTCTTCTATCACTTCCTGGTTTACACCGGTTTTTACAAATATTGAAGTTACTCCTATTTCACTAATATCTCGTATATTACGTTGTTCATCATCAAAAAATATCATTTGGTTGAAGCTAACTCCAGATTGATTTTTAATCCTGAAAAAAATAAAACATATCAAAAAAGCAATACAAAGATTAATCAAATATTACTGATTAAAAGCTATGACAGGGGAGAGTCAGTAACACATTTATGAGTATTATTTGCATAAGGCAAAATTTAAAATTTTTTGTTCCTTAACTTTTAGAACAAGGAAATACTTTGCTGCATTACCTAAAAAAGCCATTGTAGAAAATGCAGTCATTTCTGAATAAATTATATTTTTTAACAATTAAGCATTTTACTTAAAAAACGTATATTGAAAAATTCATACTAAGAATTTTTGTAAGTTTAAACAGAAGGTCAATAATTGAAAGTGGTTTTCAGTTGCAATGCCTTAGCACCACCCCCACTCCAATAATGTATATTCTGTGCAAAAAAAAGTTGTACTGTTTTTATAATACATCATAAAAAAATAGATTTGTATTGAGAAATATATTAAGGTCGTAGCAACAAGGTTTCCTACCGCTACAAAGGTGGCAGCAATTTTTTTTCTATTAACCTGTGATGAAAATTAGCAGTTTTATCAATGTCTGCATTTGCCTACATTTTGTCTTAATTCCAAAACGGTGGTAGTACAGGTACTAAAACGTAAAAGAGTTTCACAAGAGGTTTAGAAGATAAATATATGTCCAACAAAATAATTAAAAACTGGATTATTTTCAAACAACAAATGTTCAGATAGGACCTTTCTTGCTAGGACGGCAGTACTTCAGTGTTTCATGGTAAGGCTACTGTTCTTACAATAAGTTAAGTATATTTTATTTTAATCTAATAAAATGACTAAATTACAATAAATGTTTAAACAACATTACAAAGTCACAATACAGCATACAATGTAAATAATAATTACGCAAGAGAACATAAATTACAAGAGGGAAAAAAATATGTATGTCACCTACGCGCAGGAAAAGAAATACCTAGACGATCATCTATTAATAATGAATCTAATTCCATCTTGGAATCAACAGAATTTTAAAGATTAGCGCTCCATATTAGGAGATATAACCCATTTTAGACTTTCTCTCAAAATAATATAATCTTAATAATCTTCTGCAAAATGAAACCTGACATGACATGAGAAATCAACCAATGCAAATAAAAAAGCTGAAGCACTTCATGATACATTTATGAAACATTTGAATGCCTCAATTCCAAACATATCCCAACCTAAAAGAAAATGCCATAAAAACTTGAGTTATATGAATACAGATAAAATAAAAAGACAAAAAGAACTAATCTCATTTTTACAGGACGCCATTAAAAACAAACCAACGACTACAATTAAAAATTATATAAACAAGAGAAAACTAAATACAATGTATTGCTAAAAACTGCAAAACAATAGTAGTTTGTGCAACAAGTGCGAAAAGTACTTTGCGCAGATGTTGCACACAATACTTTTTCTACGATCACGATTTTAAGAATTAAAATTAAGAAACTTATTTGAAATAATTTGTAACCATTTTTATTAATAATATATTATGGGAATGTAATTTAAAAATTATAAATTTAACTTTTAATTAACTTAATTTAACACTTAATTTAATTAATTATATTTAACATTATTTGATACAAAAGAAACACATTTTTTATTTGAAATTATAATTTATGGTAAAATTTGAGCAATTTTGAAGTGTTACTCCAGGTGTCTCTCTATTTTTTACCAAATTCTCAGTAACTGTCGAAATATTTGCTGATAATGTCGAAGGCTTTTCTTGTTGGTTACATGAGGAGTCTACGGAGTTTACAATTTTATTGGCTATCTCTATTTTATTTGAGATGGCGTCGTCAACATAGCTTTCTGCAATATTGCTTGATCGCCATCCACCATGGCGTTTAAGAGTTAATAAATCTCCTCCTGCTTTGGCTAAAATAGTGGCAGATGAGCGTCGAAAAGAATGGCCAGTATAAAGATTAGAGTTTGGCAATTCTAAAAATTGTGCCACTTGTTTAGGAATATTGCCAATTTTGTTAATTCCGACAATTTGCCTTGTGCATTTACCCCCTTGATAATTCACAAAAAGACGTCTGTCAATGACGTTATCAGGGCGAAGACAAGTGTACTTTTTGTATATATTATAAAATTCTCCAGTTACCGTGAACGATCTTTTAATTTTGGTTTTCGTGCTTCGAATCGTAACCAATAGGACAGTCTTTAGATCTTACACGTCATCTAATTTTATATTCCACAATTCTTCTCTTCGACAGGCACCAGTTAAACCGATCGCAAGGACAGTCTACAAGTTTAAAATACATTAATTTTAGATATGTTTTTTTGTTTTTTTTTAAAGAAGAATTTTAATAGGAATTTTAATTATTATAAAAAAAAAAGCTGGCAGGCACTGTGAGATTTGAAGCCCGGCCGTTTTTATCTCAGTCCAACACTCTACGATCTGCGCTACGTAGGCTTGTAACTGTACTTCGCGAAAACATAGTTAAAAAACATATTTTAAAATTCGTTATTTTTAAATATTTTATATTATAACTAAGTTATTAAACTAAATTTTAAAAACTTTTGAATTTCTTCAGATGTTAAGGTTTTTGATTTTTTGGGCTTGTAATTATCATTTTGTCTTTTTAAAAATGCTCTTAATTTTACGTATATTGAAATGTCCACATTGTTTTTTATACTTAATGTACTTCGCAACATTGAATATTGTGACCATAGTGTCGAAGCTTTATAAGATTTTGATTGTTCTTCAAAATAGGCGAGAATTACATTCTCAGAAAATGATGGTATTTTCTTATTTTTCCTCCATTCCATAAATTTTTGATACGCACATTCATACTTTTCTCTTGATTTTTGAGGCAAAAGGTTTAAAGTTGCATTCAATGCAATTTCAACAATTTCAGGAGGTGTGTTTTCCATATATTCAACTTCTGAATCTGAATTATTATTGTCAATTCCTTCCATGTCGAATTATACCTATATTGTATAATATGATACGTCGTGTTATCAAATATTTAAATTACAAATTAATAGGTAGGTAACTATTATGTATTATTTTTGTATGAAAATAATTCAAATCTTATTTTAAATATAACAAATGTCAAAATATGATATTACGAATCACGAACTGTCAGCAAATGCAGCCTCCTACGATAGATGCGTGGGAGTTCTCCACGCATGTGTAGTGTGCGGTACAGGAAATTCTGCACGACTTTTCGCACAGTGCACGATACACAGACTAACGGCATGTCCCTACGCAAGCAGCTGACTGACGATGACGTCACGTGGGACATATAAATATAAGCATTAAATGGGAGGTAGTGTTTAAAATTCGATATTTTGCCAATTTTAGACTTTATGCAGTTACTTAAGCTTTATTGGTTATTTTGTAATATATTCGTTTACAAATATGAAGGTTTAAGGTAAATAATAGTAATAAAAATATTAATTTTTCTCATAAATTATAGGTATTTTGTGACAAAATCCATAACCTGGACACAAGATAAGTAAAAAATATAGACTAAAAATACAAATTTGTACTTTCTGGGCGTGTAGTTCTTTTACAATCTCTTTTTTTATTATGTGAAATAAAAATAAGTGTGCAGAAACAACTTATTTATTTATAAAAAGTAAATACACAAAAAAAATTACTTTTTATTTGGTAAATTTAAACATTTTTTGTCAAATTTACTTCGAAAATACTCAAAATCAATTTTTCTGTTCATTTATCTTATTATTATGTGTTCGTGTCCTTCTCATGTATGGCATTACTTCAAAAGAACCGTTGTATTGGGACAGGAAACTACTGTTTTTATCTGCTAAAATTTCAAAATACCGATTTATTTTCTTTGCTTAATGAGGCCGGTGCACCTGGTGAAATTTAGTTTTCTTTTCTCACAACTAATTTCCTCAAAGTGGATAAGGCAACTTCAATTAAGTTTGTCCTTTCTTCGATAAGAATTTACCCATATTTTGTGGCATTCGGAAATATCTCCACCGCGCAGATCGGCATTTTAAACAATAATTTAGTTCTTCCCTGTTATATATAGGAAAATATAGTTACTACCTTAGGTCACTACTAACACAAAACCAAATAAATTATTAAATTATTTTACACTATTCAATCAAAAAGTGTCAAAATAACTTGAAAGTTCGTCCCGCATTACGTCATGCGCAGTTTGGACGAATTTTGAATCGAAAGTCAGCATACCATTAGTATGTGTATCATGGCACAGTGTAGGAAATTATTAACTTTGAACGCAAGTAAGCCATGTCTATTTGTATACTTTCTATAGTGATCGTAGAAAAAATAACTTACTTCAACAAATTAATAATTCAGACAATAAATCTAAAACTGTATGGAAAATAATAAATAATGAAACAGGACGTAATAATAAAAATAATGTAGAATCTGAAAACGATATAGAAACCTTTAATAAATATTTTGTAAATCATTCATCTGATATAGTAGAAGACATCCTCAATAACAATAAAAATAAAATTGACTTGTCTTGTTACAACCGAAAACATCAATCACTTTTCTTAGCTCCTTTTACTGAATCTGACACCATAGATATAATACAAAGATTAAATCAAAAAGAACTCAAGATATTTATGAAATTAATACCTATTTATTAAAAACTGCGCCAAAATATTGTTCTTATTACTGAATTGATAAACTGTTGTTTAGCTGAAGGTACCTTTTCAGAAATTTTTAAAACGTCCAAAGTTCTACCATGCTACAAAAAAGGAAATGACTCAGTACCTGAAAATTTTCGCCAAATACACATTTTACTATGTTTTTCTAAAATACTTGAAAGTGTTATAGTAAAACAAATTGTGCATTTCTTTGAAAACAACAACCTGTTTTCTGCGGAACAATATGGTTTTAGACATGGGAGAACAATTACAGATGCCATGCTGGCTTTAATGAATAACATTTAGGAGTCTTTAGAAAACAAATCACAATGCGCAGCTATATTCACTGATCTGTCTAAAGCATTTGACTGTGTAAGCCACAAATTGTTAATCAACAAACTAGATAAATATGGCATTAGAGGCATTGCAAATAAGATGATTGCTTCTTATTTACAAAACAGACAACAAAGTGTATATTACAGAAATAAATTTAGTAAACCTTTATCAATAAAAAGAGGTGTTCCACAAGGATCCGTACTATGCCCACTATTTTTTCTCTACGTAGAATATCAAATATATGTGTGTGTATGTATTTCTGTTTGGCACTGGTTTCAAAACCAACTAGCCAGTCAATCTTTAATTAATTTTAATAAAGTTTATTTTGTGTTAATTCAATTTTAAGTTCTATCCTTACAATATTTCACAGTTCACATTTTATTTGAATATAGTTAATACAGAAGCAGCAATAACTACTTATTATGGCCTAGTCCATTCCAACTTAGCATAATGACCCTGTTTTTGCAAATAGTATTTGAAAACTTGCTAGCAGTAAAAATAATTTGGGAAACTTCACATGTCACTCAGACAATGATACATACGATACCAGAGGGAAAAATCAGCTAATCCAAACGAGAACTAGAACAAACAAGTCCCGAACAATAGACATTTCACTCTATAATGCACTTCCGCCCCACAAACGTAATCTACCAGGAAAAAAGTTTAAACATCAAATTAAAAAGATATTACTCGACATGTGTCTATATAACACTAATGATTATTTTGTAAGAGTGAAACATGTCACCTAATATTTTTAATATTGTATTTTTTATTACTATTACCAACCATGAGTTTTTAAAATCCTATTTTATTATAAATTTTATATGACTATGCTGTATGTTAATATATGTAAAATGTGGTGTATTTTACCATTTGTGTACTGATGACTATGTAAACATGTTTATATATGTATTACTGAGAATAAAATATTCTATATCTGAAAATTTCTAGCTTCTGCTTTTATAACATCAGCATTTTGAACTAAGGCTTTTCTAAGACGTAGTTATCAAGTGTTCCACCACTGGTGCACCTGCAGCAAAGTATTTCCATTCTTTACAAGGCGATAATAAACAATACATTTGTAATTTTGCCTTGTGCAAATGTGTAGCAAAAAAGTGTCGCTCTCCTATTATATTTTGTGATTTGAGAGATTAAAAAACTTAAAAGTAGTTTCAACTAATTTAAAAAATAAAGCTTTTTTTATATTATGACTATGATGACTAGAGAGAAGGAGGCGAATTGGCAATGGTCAAATTTCTATCCTTCTTTTTATAAAGTTCGCGAAATTGACTGTAGTTGGCATGTCGAATAACAGCAGTGTCAATTTTTTATGTGAGTCAACGAAAAATAAGTGATTTTTTAAAAAATTGGTGAAAAGAATCAAAATAATGTGAAAAAAAGTACCTGAGTACAAGTAACATGAGAGACAAAACAAAGTAAGATTTACGTCGTTCCAAATTGTAAAACAGGATACAAATCAAATGTAAAACTAAAGAAAACACAAGAAGAAATCAATTCAATGTCTTTTTAAAGCTTCTAATGTAAGTAAAATGTATTTATGTCTAAATACAGTGAGCATCATATAAGTCTTACCCCCCCCCCCTAACTAACTCGTTACTGGAGTCTTGTTAGGAAAATCGCTGAGACACGTCGATTTCTGATTTCTATAATGTACATTTTTGTATGAATAGTTTACCCTTAATTTCATCCCTTACTGGAGGGGAGCAACCCTTTCGAAAAATTTAAATAGCATGGGGTGATGAGTCAAAGCTCATTTGAAAGGGGGTTTTATTCTCTATTCAATCGTGCAAAAAAAAATTGAAATTTGCTCCATTACGTGTTGATTTATTAATGTTTAAAAATAACAAAACATCACAAATCTAATGGCAAAAAGTCTTACTTCACGTCTGAACCAAAACCGATATCATGCAGGGCCGAATTTTAATTCTAAGGATGAGTGCCCAACGTTAATTTCCGTTATTCTGAAACAAATTTCAAAAGAATAAAACCCCCTTTCAAATGCGCTATCACTCACCACCCCATGCCATTTAAATTTTTCGAAAGGGTTGCTCCCCTCTAGTAAGGGATGAAATTAAGGGTAAACTGTTCATACAAAAACGTACATTGTAGAAATCAAAAATCGACGTGTCTCGGCGATTTTCTTAACAAGACTCCAGTAACATGTTAGATAGGGGGGGGGGGGGGGTAAGACTTATGATGCTCACTGTATAATATTTATTGGAAACAAATCACAATATATATCTTACGGAGTGTAGTTTATTTTATTACAAGTTTCTATAATATAAAATTTAACTTACTAGAAAAGAAAATTTATTTTTTATAATTTTAATGTTAGATAAAGAGTTGCTACTGTTATTTATTTTTTTTTTTTTTTTTGAATCCCAATTGTGTCATTGTAAATGTTTTTTGTAGGATACTAAACGCTTATAACTGTGGCAGCATATATATTATTCCTAGTGCAGGTAAAGCACTTTCTAGAGATAATGTTGTTCTATACTTTTTAGAAGATATTATCTATGAGACTGTTTTTACTGATGGTACTGTTAGCAAAATAAAAAGGGGAAAGCTGAAATTAAAGACTGAGGTACATTCCCAAATCTCCCTTTATACTTGTATTACAACAATAAAAATCTGTTAGCTGTGTTTTATTTTGCTCTTAAAACTATATATAGGTTCAATTCAAAAAAAAAAATTGCCACCAAATTGTACTTATAAAGTTTTAGCATTTAAAACAAACCTTTTCGAATTTGGTCATACCTACCTAATTTGTATTTTATATAGATAAAATTAAATAATTTGTCAATTAAAACAATACAAGAGTTATTTAGAAATAAAAACAGTATGTTTTGTGCTTTATTTAGCTAAAAACGAGTTTTTTATTATTTTGACAAAATTATGTATAATTCCCATATGAAGCCATGTATTTTGAACAAGGTATGCAGTACTAGCGCCCATGCGGTTAATTATAAAAGCGTGCGTTTTTTTGGGTCCATATTTCGAGTATGCTGATTCACCTCCTTATCTCTAGTCTTCATAATTATGACAAGTATACATTAGGGTATCTATATATTGGCAGCCAATATTCTAAATGCATTTAATTATTTTTACAAAAGAGTAAAGTCCATAAATAACGTATAGTTAGTCATACTTATTAAAATGTGTAGTTTTACATCCTGGAAAAATTTCAAGATATGAAAAATATTTGTCCCATCCAAACAGCTCTATCAGTTGCCTGGCACCTTTTATTTCAGACGTTCTGGATGCAACTGCTAATTTATAACCTTCATTAAATAACTTTTCTAAGATTCTAGGTACTTCAGGATAACATTTAATAGGAGTCTTTTGAGAGTCCAAAATTTGACCATTTGAGCTGAAAAAAGTTTCTGTACTTGAAAGATTTAATAAGTATTTAAATGAACATGATTTTGTGAGTTTTTTTTTAATGATAGTATTTAAATGAAAATGTTTTGGTACTTTACATACGTTTTTCTAAAAGGTGGTGATACATGCGTGTCAACCCAAAATGGCCATAAAGTATAGTCTGAAAATTAAGAATTAATTTTAGATTGTATTATTGTTTGTTATTAAACTATTACCTAAATCAAATACTACTACTTTTAAATTTTCCAATGCCATGTTTCTGCAAATCTTTCTCAACATGAGTAGTTCCAGAATTCCTCATTTATCACGATCATTATGCACTACTGTCAAAAGTAGTTCATTTCATGAACAGGAAAGAAGAAAGGTTAAAAACTATTGGCCTTTAACCAGTGATGTAGTAATAGAGTGATCCTTTATTATTTTGGTTTGTGGTCACATTTTCCCCATTTTAATTTATTTTGTGATTTGTTTATCTTAACCTCCTCGTTCCAGAAAAGATAAACAACTTCCGATCTTAATATTCTAATGTGTGTATTTTTAGAATTCAGCAAGATAATTGAAACGATGAAACGATTGAATTTGTTAGTATAATTATGTATAATATAGGTTCTCTGAATAGTCTGAATTTAACTGGAAGACAAAACTGATTCCAATAAGAGAGAATTTTGATAGAGAACCACACTTTGAAGGGGTAAGTTGTTTAATTGGAAACACACAAATTTTACAGTATTTTACTTTACAACAGACCAAATATATATTATGTTGTAAAATGCTGTCGACAAAATAAAAGTAAACGCTTGAGACATGACTAAAGTTCCTTTAATTCTATGATCCTGGTATGCCGTTATCAATATATTAATATTAAGCTCTATTTTAACATTGCCCTTTGTAATTTATACTGAGATTTTTCAGTCATTTTTGATTAAGTGATTTGGAATTATTAACTAAAATACCTAATCAATAAAACAAAAATAAATAAAAGTAAATAAAATTAAATAAAAATAATAACAAATAGTTAAAAAAATTAAATTAAAATAGGTAAATTATTAAAAATAAAAATTAATTAAATTTAAACAAAAATAAATAAAAATAAATAAAAATAGGTAAATTATTAAAATTAAAAAATAAATAAAATTAAACAAAAATAAATGAAAAGATAAATTTAAAAGAAAATAAATAAAAATAACAATAAAAAATATTCATTTTTATTTATTTGTATTTATTTTTATTTTTTTTTTATTTATTTTTATTTTTTTTTTATTTTTTTTTATTGATTTGTATTTATTTACTTTCTTTTATATTTATCTTTTCATGTACTTTTATTTATTTTTGTTTAATTTCTATTTTTAATAAATTACCTATCTTTATTTATTTTTTTTAACTATCTGTAATTATTTTTATTTATTTTTAATTAATTTTTATTTATTTTTTAATTTTAATTATTTTTGTTTGCATTTATTTATTTTTAATTTTTTTTATTTATTTTTATTTATTGTTATTTATTTTTATTTATTTATATTTTATTTATTTGTATTTATTTTCTTTTACTTTTATCTTTTTATTAATTTTTATTTAGTTCTTTTTTATTTGTTTTTATTTTTATTTATTTAATGGAACTTCAAGTGGGGACCAAACTGTCGGGATGTCGTTTTTATTAGTTCACTCCTCATACTTTTATGTCAGTCAAGCTAATAAGTTTACTTCAAAATTTATTTTACCATATAAATTCGTATAATATATTGAAAATTTCTAAATTAAAATTGTTATACTTAAAAACCAAAAAAAAATATTTTTTTTCTTAAAATACACTTACAATTTTCTTAGTAAATAATAAAAAGAAACTACAAAATCATTGAATTTTCAGCTCGCTATGATTTTTCCAAGTCATATACATCTCCTCTTAATTTCTAACCACCCTAACTCTGTCAGTTTTAATAATGCCGAAAAATGTTAAACATGATTTTTATGTAAAACTTTATGCTTTACAATTTTTATTAAGAACTTTTTTTTATAACCTTAAAAAAACACATTATTTTCTTGTTTTTTGACATTTGCCGGTGCCTGAAAAACAAAATTTTTTTACATATCGTTTTTAAATACTCTAAAGTGACTTATATCAAAAATTCCTGTATTTCCCCCAAAATTTTGATTCAAAGGTCTATTTGATTGGACTATTGTGACGAAGTCACTAAATTTTATTTTTAATTAATTTAAAAAAATGTATATTTTAATTAATTCCCGCCTGAGGACATGTAGAAGATCCCCGTTTTTCTGTTTCCCAGGAATTACCGTTTTTCAACAATTGCGAGTATCCTCGTAGGTTAAAATATTCCTATATTTTCCGAAATCCGAATGGGCATTTTGTAGAGTCGATTTCATACCAATTTACTTTTATTTGTCAAGGTACTAGAAGGACATTTTTTATTTTTAAATTGTAAACAGTCGGCTGTAGTGGTGGTATCCCCCACTTCGGCTTACCGGTCTTCAATCTTGCCCAGCGAAAAAGCATACATTCGAGCACATCTGGGAATTACTTTCGCTTGATTTCCGGCAACCGTAAGCTCTTCTCTCTTCTCCACCGACTAGTGAAATACTCAGTGAGTGACCGTGATATTGATAGAATACTGAACAACCCCGTTTATTTTTCTAAGGTAGAAAACCGCAAATTATTTTTTAAGCTATTGCATAGCTTTTATCGCGGGCTTTGAGCGCGACGACCGAATCAAGAAATTCGGTGACGAAAATAAACCTAACACCTCCCACTCCGACCGGCACAGCGGTGGGCGTGGAAGGTTTTATCCCTATTCGTATTAGTATGAAGCGGAGTTAAATATACGTCTGCGGACTGGAACGTTTATGCAATACAAGACTAGAAGAGCTTTCTCTGGCTTCTAATAAATTGGTATCACAAATGTTCCCGGCTGGCGTAAATATTAGATATTATTTTTTGCAAGATTTATAAAATATTAATTTTTATTTTATCAGTGTTAACTATTTCATTATTAAGCTATTGCATAATAAACCTAACACCCCCATTCCGACCGGCACAGCGGTGCGGCGTTGAAAGCCGTGCATCGTCTAACGTCGTTTCAGTTCGGCAGACTTCGGCACGGTGTTTGTGTGCGTGCGACTAGACGTATGCGTGTAGACTAGCTGCTAACTGCTCATAACTGATTCTATCTCTTTTAGACACAATTTCGGAAAAATTGAATTTGAAAATGAATAATGATACACACGAATCCACGACAAATATGGGACCACCATTGACGCGGTATTTTCCAGATATTTAGAGGATATCAAGTCTCAAACTTATGTGTCTTATTTCTGTTACCATAATCCTATAGTTTCAATGATAAAAATTTCTGAATAACCTACATGTATTGTAAGATAATAGAAGTATTTTAAACAATATTAACTTCTCATTTAATCAATAAAAGAAAAAAAATGTTTTCTTATCGGTCACCACGCTCAAAAAGTGTAACTTGAATTAATATCAAAGAAAAAAAAATACTGCATAAATAAAATAAATAATTATAATTGCATAAGTTGATAAAAAATGCTATGCAATAGCTTTACCGCGACAGTCCCCGAGTGCCACTCGTATTTTTATTTACAATTAGTTTGGGACACCCGTCCGACAAGTGAAAATTTTTTGATTCATACCCAGGATATTTTATTTCATCCCTTAGTGGGAAACCGTTGGCAATCTCTTTTAAGAAGCGCCCAGTATTTTTCATTTCATGTAAGTTTTTTTTATTTATTCATTCAATTGTATTTGAATCATTCCGTTCCCCGTCCACAACTAATTATTTAACGAAACCCGACGTTTTCTGTAAAATTAATTCACACACCGTTTTGATCGACTTTGGCAAATCTCAAAATAATCTTTTCTATCACCATGCCTTCGCTGTCCAAACACCGCGTAAATTCATATCATTTTCACTCGACGAAAATTGCCACTGCCGATCGCTCGAGACCAAGATACAAGGGGTTCCGAAAACTGTGTTCCATTTTATAGTAGGTTTTCCTTTTCTGAACTTACATTGTAGGTGGGTCGCGATATTTTTTTTTATGTATGTTCAGCGATTATTCTTTAACACGGTGTCCGATTTTAATGATTCTTTTTTTGTTAGAAAGGGGGTACTTCAGGGGTGGTCCCATATAAATTTAGTCAAAATCTAATAATTGGGTCTATGAGAAAATCCTCAAACTCTTCATTTTTTATGTATGTTTAGCGATAATGCTTTACCACCTTGTCCGATTTATATGATCCTTTTTTTGTTAGTAAGGGGGTACCTCAGGGGTGGTCCCATATAAATTTGGTTAAGATGTGGTGATGACATCTGCACGTTTTTGAAGTCGGTTTTTTTAAATTTTTAATTTCTAATACTTGTTAATTACCGTTTTTTTCGTTTTATTATTTTGACCAGAACATTTAATTTAATTTCGTGTATTTGGGAAAACATACCTTTCATATACCGGGTTGTACATAATTTCCGATTTGAATATTTTCCCGTACTAGTAAAAGGTAATGCGAACTTTAATTTCATTTATTTTCCTACATTTTATTACCGTCATATGTGAATAATTTATTTTTAATAAATTTTCCGAATACAGGGAGCTGTTAATATTTACTTAGTTTTCATTTGTAGTAACTTATTTTTTTAATAAATGTTCCGAATACAGGGAGCCATTAATATTTAACTAGTTTTCAATTGTAATAATTTATTTTTAGTAAATCTTCCGAATACCGGCAGCCATTGTTATTTAACTAGCTTCAATTGTAATAATTTACTTTTCATTATTTTTTTCTTCTGTATATAGGGACCCGTAATTACTTTCTTGTAATCTCGTTTAATTATTATCATTCATTTTATTTAATTTTCCGTTTACAGCCGTGCCAAAACCGTGCACTACCACCGTTGTAAATTTTTTTGTAAATATATATTTTATTACCTATTCCTGTGTTTTTCTTATTGCTGGTTCTTAACCGTTCTCTTTCAGGGTACCGTAGGGTACGAGGTGTAAAGGAGACAAGTGTTTTATTTTTATTTATTCTAGTATAGTGGCTACCTAGCAGTGACCGCCTGGAATTATTTTTACCTCCACTGAGTTTACCTTGAGTACACTCTGGTGTACTACAGGGTCGCAGAGCAAACTGCGATACCAATACTGGCGCCTGAGCAACCCCTTTTCGGGAATCACCATCATAGCGACACACAGACTCGCTGATTCACTGTAGGTGAACCAGAATCCTGTCACACTATAATGTAAAATACTATTTTCTGCTACCCATATGCTAGTTGTCGACCGGTTATATCCTAGTAGTCGGCCGCCAATAAATTGAAGTAATTTACTTCAGATCAGTACTTACAAAATGTTATTGTAACAATTTAAACTAAAAACTTTCCCATTCAATTGCATGTTCTTTGTAAAAATGAGACAAAATTGAAAACAAACATGTTTTTTAATAATTTATTTAGAAAATACATAAGGATAACAAAATTAAAATGTATGAAAACAAACAAAAAAAAAACAAACAACACCATTCAACGATCTTTCTTTCATTTTCTAAGCTTCAAAACAGGACTGGATCCATCTTTTCACTAATACATCCCATACAGGTTTAGATCAAGAATCTGTCATATTTGACTTCTAGTTATTAAGCAAAAATTCATAATTTCCGCTACGTATAGAATTTACAAGTAATTTATTACTCACTCCCCTCTATAAATCACCCTGTATACTATAAAAATAGTATAATGTACGCATTTTCTTAGAATAAATTCATATTATAACATTTGTGATACTTTTTTGTGGAGTATATTTAAAAAAATGCATTAAATTGTTTTTCTCATATATTTTTGTAGGTTAAAAATGGCAAGATTACAATGGAAAAAATATAAAACTATTGGTTTTGCTAGTGGTGTGTTCCTCTTCGTCCTTATGATTCGAGCTCAAACTTTCGAACACAAAGCTTTTGTATTTTTACCAAAAGTTCACCCGAATGCACCATGGGAATTTGTGGCAGATTTCAGCAATATGAGATACTTAAATCCAACAATGTAAGTTACCGTTTACATATATTGTGTGACTCAAAATTTTATGACAAATTTATTGTTTCGTATTTTAAGTGTAAATGTTGAATAAAGTAAATTTTTTAAATGAACTAATATTTATTTTGAAGGAATACAAGGACTGTTTTCTTTCCGTTGAGCCTAGTAAAGTAAATAAAAAACTGTTTATTTATAATTTTTCAAAGCTTCACAGCCAATGCATTTTTGCAACACGACTTGTCACCAAGCACTTGATTGATTTCCTCAAAACATAGAAATCAGATATATTTGACAACTGTCACTAACTAAACTTGTAAATTGAAATGTCAGACAAAATTTGTTGCAAAAATATCATCACCTAATAAGATGCCTACTACGTAGTTAGGTTCATCGGAAAGAGAATAGCTCTCGTATCTTAGAAGAACATTGTTCTTTTAAAAATTGCACGACATTGTGTAATTTAAAAAATACCGAAGATGATGCACGGCTTAAGGACAGCGTCTCCTAGGAATTTCTGAACAAAATTATGTCAATTTAGATTCAATCAAGGAGGTGCTGTTACCTACCGACTAGAGATTGAATTAGTGCAAATTATTACAGAAATCTTTAAGTAACTATAAATATCGACCGACTAGCTATTAGGGGATATTGTATTATAAACCGGTTTTTAGTAGACTGAGTTCGAAGGATCATAATAATAGTCCTGAACATAAAACCTATTTTTCAATAATTGCCGGGATTTTACCAAATAAAAAAAAAAGTATTTCGCGATTGTGAAAACGGTCCAATCGTTTTATATGCCATTTATAATATTATAAAAATGTTAACTCTAGGACTCATTTTGGAGTATGAGCATACTTTATTTCAATACTTTTATTGTACTGTTTCATAAAGTATTAAGTACCTACCTATTACATTTTATTTTTATCGAAAATTGACTTTGTTTCCTGGACCAAAGTAAAGAATGTAGGTAGGTATGCAGATGCAAAAACGATATCTTGCCTCACATTAATTATAAATATTTCCTAAAACAAATAATTTGGTTTATATACGAGTGGTAATACGAGGGATGTTTATAATTTCAAGTCACGAATATAGAGTCGTTTCAAAATATATTGCCACAATAATTGCGTCACATTGAGTCGGAGTGGGACGCTTGACGTGTCGCAATTCGCAATATATTTTAAAACTATTCTACCTAATTAATAAATTGTGATTTTGAAGTATCGAATGAAAACTATATTCTCATTGGTTAAAGATGGAAGTTTTTGTCATTTGAATGTTCAAGAATATTAATTGTGATTAATTGGTTAAATACCGAAGTTATCTGTTATCTGATGTTGGTACTAACCTAATGTTTTTGGGTAATTTTGACGGTCATTTCCTGGAATTTCCAGGCCCGCATAAATATTTATCCTATTAAAGTACAAAAACCCTACTATATTATGAGTAGGTATTTAACATTCATTTATCTTATCTTATCTTAGGTAGTTATTACCTAGAAACATTTCCCTGATTGTCAATAACACATTACCGTATATCTGTGCCAATATGACGTCCCGACTTTTAATATACTTAATGAAGGCTGGGGGAAGGAGTTAAGAGTCTATAAATTTACAAACAAGCTTACGGGTATTTAGTTTTCAAAATTACATCACACGTTTCTGAAGTGTTTTATTGTGCTGTTTGTTTTTAATAAGTGTTATTTTCTTTAATAGAAAATTGATTTATTTGTGCCAAGTGTCCTAGTGAGTTTCATTGTACATTTTAATCAGTTTTATTTTTAGATAAATTGACATCGAATTCCTGCATTAAAGGTAGGTAGTATTTTTTTCTATCACTCTCGAGTTCGTCATTGAATAAAAAAATTAAACGCTATAATTTTAACATTCAAATATTTGCAATTAAAAAATAATATTACGTATTAAATTTGACAATAAAAAAACTTGTTATTTAATAATAATGTTTCATTATTCTGAATATATTTTTTCTACGATCAATATCCAAAGTAGGTAGGCTTTTGCACATTAAAATCTAAATAAAAAGTTGACGTTTTCTGCGAATTGTCATAATTTGACATTATTGGCGCACATTACCTAATATTCAAACCCATTTCCATGCTTAAAAATTGAAGATGGTGACATTCATTTAAAAGAAAACCATAACTACTTTTACCAGGTGAAAAATTTCAATATGTTAAAATAATTCATGATTTTTAAGAAATGTGCTAGAAATGATACTACAATATTAATATTCTTTTTATGTTTGATTTTCTAATAATGATTTTATATACTTTTAGATTCAAGGACAGCTAGGTATAGCTCAAAGAAAATTGTGCTACTTTGTAGTATATACTGGAGATGAAAATCCACTATTTGTTGAAAAAATTCATTTTCAACCCATTTTTTTTTAAATATGGTTGAAAAATTAGAAAAATTTTACTCGGAATATATGGCACCCGAGATAATTTTAAATAGAAGAGGACGATGATTAAAATGTCTGGATACCCCATATAATGAAACTTAAAGTGCAAAGATTAGCAAATTTATAAAAATAATAATTTAATGGACTTTAATGATACAAGTACTTGAAATAATGGTTTTTTTGCGCAGAAGCATGTTCATACGTAATTTGCAATTGGTAATCACTAAACACAGATGGAAAAGTATATACGTCAACGATATGTTCTCTTATTTTTGATTTATTTTAACAGGTATAATATATTGTATGTTACTTATAGTATAGATTTTTTTATTTCTCGACCTAATTTATTTGTTACGTCTTCAGCAATTGTCGCTTTCAGTTGACATAAACGAAATTGATAAAAAGTGTTTTTCGCATTTTATTTTGACTGTTTCTCTTACTTTCGAATAGAAACTGAGCTTTGTAAACATAAAATGACGGATATGTCAAACTAAAACTGACGGTAAAATGAAACATTGAATATCGTTAAATGCAACTTTTGAACTAGTTTCAAAAATAGCATTAAAATGATATTATTATTCACAATGTACTAATTTCCTATACTTTTAGTTGATAAATAACCGATAATCATACATCATATAACAAATAGGCGCGTGTCAAAAGGTCAGAAAAAAGAGTGCCGATGAAAAAAGGTCGTTTCCAATTGTATCATATAAACAGTATCAGAGGCAGTATTATCATCTCGTATATCCCCCGTAAACACACATAAGATAAACGGAAATAATCAAATACTAGTCAAAATATTATCGATCGGAGCACCATCTTTATTACATTACATGAAGTAATTATTGATTTTTCGGGGTTGAATTAGAGTTAAATTAAACGCCATTTTTGGTCCAAATTCGTTTTCAAATTTCAAATCTACACGTTTTGAAAAATATACAATATTTAGATATTCTGAGTGTACCAAATTCCAAGTAAAGGTTGAACTTAGGTCGTATTACATTTTTTTTTTATTATTTGTTTGACATCGAGGTTAAAATAATTCTAGACGGCACCTTTGAGATGAAATAAAATGGGGTTATTTTACATGATTGGTTTTTATTGAAAATAATAAATTTATTAATTTTCAATAGTAAGGTGACCTAAGTTAGACCTTTATTTTTAATTTGGCCAAAAATTAGATTTTTAAACACTACATATTCGGAAAACTGTCGATTTAACTTTTGGTCTACACATACAATTTTAATACACAGGGATACAAAATGCAAGCATAGTTGGTAGTAACAAAAAAGCGTTATAAAATGTGTCTCTACAGTCATCCGATTTTCAAATAAGTAACATCCCACTTTGTAAATAAAATGATTATAATCATCAAGTTACTGAGGAGAGGAGATGACACCACACAACTACTCAAAAATAATGTGGTTCTATTATATTGACATTAGGATTGTAACAATATGGCATCTTAAGTAGGTTCGGATTCAGAATTTTTTGAATTGTTTAACGCAGTCGCAGTAATTTGGATAATTATAATTCAGTGAATACTAACGTGATGTATCAAATACAAATTAAATAACAAAAAATTTGTATCAATATTTATGTGGAATTTTCTAATTTGAATATATTTATATAAGCAGGAAATTCACATTTCAAACGTATTTTTCAAATACGAAATTAATAAAATAGATGTGCCTAATTAAAAAAAATATTTCAGTTTTTAATTTCCTTAAGAGATTTACAAAACTTTACTGTACAAGTCATAAAGATGAATGCTAAAGTTATAACGTGTTTATTATTCTTAAGACTTTTACAAAAATGTATTGAATAGGTCATAAAGCTAAATGCTAAATATTAATAAAACTATTCCCAAAAAATTATACGGGGTGTTTCAAAATACATGACATCGCTCGACTGAAAAATTTAAACGCATAATTCCCAAAAAAGAAACAACAAAATGGTCTCAAAAAATTATAAATAAATTTCCCAGCTAAACATTGGTTTTTAGCGTTTTTAAAGATAATCCAGAACAGGTGCAAATACGTGAACATATTCTTTGTTAAAAAAATATATTATAAGAGACACAGAATAGTATATTACATTACGAGTGTGGAAAATCACTTTTCACACAATTAATGTACAATATTTTTCCTACGACCACAAAATAATTTCATCAAAAAATGTAAAACTAGGTTATTATAATAATAAAAATGTATTTAAAAAAATAATCAACAATAATCGTATTTATTTAATTTTCATATTTTCTAAACAAATAAAAAAAAATAAAAAATAAAAAAAAATAAAAAACAAAAAAAAATAAAAAAAAAAACAAAAAAAAAATCTGGTCCCGCCAGGATTAGAACGCGGTTGCTCGCCAGGTCTCAAATGGCAAAGTTGGTAAGTTTGACACTTTAATCATCTGAACTAATAGGCCTTACGTCAATTGAATGATCTAATCGGATATGTGTTTAACCAAAATAAAAAGCAAACATATCTCAGTTATTTTAAAATTATTTTAATAATAATTGTTAAAGATAAATATCTAGGATCTAATTTACAACAATTTCAATAATTTAACAATCATATCGATTTTAGTATTAATATGGATATTACATAGATCAAAATAGAAACGATGTGTTTGACATTTTGTGACAGCTGCTGCGGAAAGTAGCATATTCGTACTTGGGTGGAAAGTTAATTCTTATTCATACGCGTGTGATATAGGGCACTTTCCATAGGACTATATAGCGTGACATGTGTCACTTTCCTAAGTGGTCGTAGGAAAAATATTTATTGGATAACTCATATAAATTTTTTTAATCAATATCATTTTTTTCACAACTGAACTCTGATTCAGACTCACTAGGGCTTGGAAAATATCCACTTAAAAATGGTCTAAATATGTATGCATTTATGCGTTAACAATACACAAAATATGCTTTTAAAGCAACATAAAAAGACAGTAATTTTTGATATTTAAATTTTATTATGGACTTTTTAAACATGATTAGATGATTTTACATTTCTATCAATTACATCTAATTAATTATTATTATTATTAGAATGAAAACAGTAAGTTATTAAATATTTTTCAATATTGAAACATTGCCTTCTATCACTTAAAATATGTTTGTACGCCGAAAATGAACGTTCCATTTCACAAGACGTTATAGGTGCATATTTACATTTTGAAATTAAAAGTGGTGAAATATTTGAATCGAATTCATTATTAAAGTTGCCAGATAAAACGTTATGTATACCCTCTAATGTCTGAAATCCTTTATTATTTAGTAAAACTGATGTAAATTTTCGTGTAACATTATTTTCCATTAACACAGACTGTTCAATAAAAGATTTTAAATTTTTAACTGTTTGTATGCTTTCAAATAATGCCATACCTCGAGATTCAAGCTTAGTTATGGCTGTGGCTATGCATGTATAATTTCCTTGAATGTGGACAATATGGCTGTAAACTATTCGCTGTGTGCATTTGGCTTGGAGGGGATAGATTGAGCTATCACATAAATTGGAGCAAAGAAAGAAATGGATAGCAGCTGTGAAAAGAAAAAAGTGAGTAACATAACCTCTGTCGTATATATATATCATAAACATCGAAAGTAGGAGCGGTATTTGAATGCTCAAGTAATAGTGATAAATAAATTATTTATAACGTAATAGATTTAATGGTTTTTCGACATTTATGACATGCCCAGCTTCTACCAAATCTTTACCTTTTCTTGGCGTTTCAGGCTGAAAGTTTATGCCATGAGATATTTTCTCAAATCCAGTGTACAAGATGACACTCATGACAAAAATGTAGCATTTAAAAATACAGACAAATTACATTGATTTATGACATTCAAAACGCAGATACTTCGTATGCATAACCTCCAAATATTTTTATGTCATTTACTTACTTTTTGTGCGACAGAAACAATTTTTGTTAGTCTATCAACTAACAGCGAACACAAAACTTGTTGCAACACTTAATTGTTGAAGAAGAATTTTCAAGTTCAACTGTTGAGTGTGAGGTGTATAGCAAGTATGCGGGAATGAATGAGGAGAACTGTCGCTATCCCGTCACCAGAGAGCGCTACCAGTCTTGCACACAGCGAATAGGATCGTTAAAAATATCGATGCATTTTTTAATTACAATTGAGTCTTCTGGGTCAAAGTCGCAGATGACATCTTTAATTTCGTTAAAATTTGTCGCAATAAAAGTAACAAGTAACACAGTTTAACCAAGTGCCACATCGTGTTAAAACTGGTTCTGGTGGCAATGGAATTCCTGGCAAACGATCCTTATAAAATTGAACCCGAAGAGGAGCTTTTACAAAAACCTTTTTATTATTTTTAATTAAATCATTTACGAGTGTAAATTCATTCCTAACCCTGTCAGTCACCCTATTTAAACCATGTGCTAAGCTTGTGCAATGGATTAAATTCGGATAAAATATTTTTAAGTTTCCAGCTGCTTTTACCATGTATGCAGCAGCATTAGTGACCATTAATAAAATATTGTTTGTATGCGCTTGTCTAGGTAAATAAAAATTTGTTAACGAATCGGTCATAAATCTGGTTATCGTTATTTGTTTTGTCTAAAACTTTAACTGAAATTAAATATCCTTTACCAGGGACATTTTCATCTAGTGCGCCTATTATAAAATTTGCAATATAGCGCCCCTGTGTATCAGTTGATTCATCAACCGAAAACCACACAGGTTTATCGTTAATTTCATTTCTTATAGAATTCAATGCGTTATCAAAATTAACTTGAACATATTTTTTTGCGCAAAACGGAAGAACTGGGTAAATTTTCTTCTTTAAAATAAGTTTTAAAAAAATTTCTGAACAGAGGATTATTTAATTTGTGAATTGGAATATTACAAGATAAAAATAAATTGCACAAATCTCTAATAAAATTGTCCTGATGATAAGAAATGGTTCCTTGGTCTGTTATTAACTGTTGAATCAATCAATACCCACTTGGTTAATATTTCGTGGTAAAATGCAGGTACAATTTAAAAATATTGTAATGTTTACAAAATAATGATAAATAAGCAATATTTTATTTTTAGATATGCAATATAAAAGTCTGCACTAAATATGCAGACATGCACTTTACATGCATTTTGCATATAATCCAAGCTCTAATCATCACCTACTAGGACTAGGCATGATACTATAATTTTTGTGCATCATGCCTACTAGGTAGCAAAAAAAGAACAGCTCTTGTATCTTAGAAGAGCATTGTTCTTAAAAATTACACGACATTTTGTAATTTAAAAAATATCGAAGATAATTCATGGCTTAAAGAAACGTAAGCATAGATGGTAGTAACAAAAAAGCATTATAAAATTTGTCTCTACAGTCATCCTTCAAATTTTATTTTACTTTATTAAATAAACATAAAAGAAAAAATAACACTTAATCTATTCTTGCTCAGCTAAAGTTTCAAAAATAATTTCTTTTTGTAACCCTGTCTCCCAATTGTGTTTGTCTATACATTTTTAAAGATGTCATGAATTTTATCATTTCATCTATAGGTTTGAAACTTACACATTTATTATTCAAAGGATCCCGCCCTTTTTTTATGTAAAGTGACGACTGGTGCGTTATTGTACTCAACCTAGTAATCAAAAGTTTCAATAAGCTCAACTCAATCCTATGACTGGTTTTTAATATACAGGGTGTTAAAGTTGAAAATGCCTAGATTTTCGAAATTATTATATTCAAAATTACGAGCTAGATTGAATTTCTGTTACATACACGTTTGGCCTTTAATAAGCTGTTTTGAATATTTTTAAGAGTTTTATACTCTAAATATCAAAATGTATCTGCACTCAAAAGCGTTGTCTAAATGAATATCTTCATACCGATAACTGTGAAAGAACCACATTATTTATTGACAGTTGTGATATAGATGGTCTATAATTCAAAAGATAGACCTGATAATTCAGATTTAAAATTAAAATTATTTTTTCTTGCAGTATAAACTTCAATATTATAGAGGAAAGTGGGAACTATGACCACTGGAAGTATACCACCGAGTATTACGAAAAATTATCCCATTGGCCATATTTACCCAATTTCGCTGTAGCTCATTTTAATATCAAAGCTTCGCCAAAAAAGGATGAATACTACATTCATTCTATCCATAGGACCTGCTTGCTTATGGGATATTATTGTTGTAAGTAAATTATTATAATATTCATGGAATGTTAATTATGACATTTTCACCAATATGAATTTGTTTTATTATCGAGGGGTAAATTTATTAGAAAAATTTGGGTACACAGGAATTCTGAAGACTTTAAAAGAATTAACAGATAAAAAATAGAACAAACCAAAGACAAGTTTTAAATTTTGAATTTTATGTTTTATGTCTTGTCTATATAACATAGAATTGACAAAAAAGGTATTTTTTTTTGACGAGGTTTATGTCGTCTTCTTTAAGTCACTAAAATCTATTAAGTTTTTCTTTTAAGAATTTTATTTTATGACAATCATTGTCCTCGAATTTGTATAGGTTTGTGTTCGTAGAAACAAATGAAGTGATTGCCAACTGATTTACGATGGTTGAAAAAAATTCCTGACTATTTTCCGGATTTTAAATCCGGGACATGCGCACATGAAATATTTGTAATAACCTACAATTTGACATTTGTTTGGCTTGAAATTTATGTCTGTTGTTACCAAAGAGGTTAGAAAGGGTAGAGGTAACATAGGAAGCATTTGTCGCTGCGCAAATTTTGCCAAAACCGAAAAACTGGGTGGAAGGAGTAGGGAGACGTTCTGGGCCGGACTTAAATATTTGTATTGTAGTACCTAATTTTGGTGGGTAACTAAAAGATGAAAAATTATGAGACATTTTTTTGACTTTATTTGTTAGCACGATTCATGTATGATGAGGGCAATAACACTTTATCAATATATAACTAGCTAAGGGCCGATTCCACCGTTGTTTCAAACGAAGTTTAAATTATTAAACGAAGATTAAAATGACATTGTTAATGTAAAAATGTCATTTTAAACTTCATTTAGTAATTTAAACTTCGTTTTTGTTAATATAAAATTGTCATTTTAATCTTCGTTTAGTATTTTAAACTTCGTTTAACAAAACGCGCGGTGAAATCGACCCTAAATAAAAGTTTATAAAATTATTGCAACAAGATAGATGTTGAGACAATAAGTTATCGAAACAGCCAAAGTACTTTTTGCTCGAATTACACACAAGATTTTTTGTACGATCACACCAAAATAAAATAAATAATTAAATTTTATTAGAAATGAGTTACCTTTTCGTTCGTTATAATATTTTAAGTTTATTTGACAGGCCTACTCTTCGAAGAGAAAAAAATGTTTTGGTACTTATATGCCGGTAATTATTTATGATTTAATTATTTACCGAAAATACCGTTCAATGAATTAAAATATTAGGAAGTCAATTAATAGTTATTTATGTAACGTATTTACATACAAGATTTGTTCTAATTTTGACTTGAATATTTATAAAATTGTGTTGAAAAATGACTCACCATAATTCTTCTGTAAGTACTTCCAATCAAATATTTTATAAAATTGTTGTATTTGATTACCCTACGACGTTTTTTTTTTTTCAATAGTAATAATAAAAATAAGGGACATGTGCAGTGTTACCGATCTAATTTTTGACATTACCAGCGAGAAATTTGAAAAAAAAAACATTTTTACCCTTTATCCTTAGGAGTACGTCCAAATTTTACCCTTAACATTTCTGGGCGTGTTATTTTAAAAATAAAACGCAATTTACAGCTTTTCTTTTTTGTTTTCTTTTTGTTGTTAAATGTAATGTCATATTTTCAAATGTGAAATGTCACTATTCATTGCCTTTTTTTCGATATTTGGTTTTTTCGATTTTTCGTTTTTTTGGATATTTGGATTTTTCGATTTTTAGATTACTCGATTTCTCGATTTCACGATTTTTCGATTTTTCAACTTAAAAACCAAAAAAGAGGCAGTTTTATTTATTTTCATTTCGTAACTGGTGACATAATTAACTTTTCGTAATCAGTTGCATAATGTTCTACTTTATGCAACTGGTTGCATAAAGTAGATCGTTTTGACACTTGCTGCGATTACAAAATATATTACTTTATATGTCAAAAATGCAGAATGTAAATTAAATGGATAGATCCCATATTATTATAGAGCAGTGTTTCTCAAACTTTTTTGGCGACGGTACCTTTTTGAATAGCGAAATATTTAACGGAGCCCTAAACACATAAAACACAATTTAAAAAATGTATTTCAAATGTTTCTTTATTTTGACTCTCATTTTGACTTTCAATAGGTAAACATGATAAAAAATCGGCTTTATATTATGCTCCGATTTTACATATTCAATTTTATAATTGTAATTTGACAATATTACTGCCCATCTACGTAGTCTGTTGGCTGGAAATTGGGGTATACATTTAGCTGGGTTAAAAATAGTTACCAGAGGTAAGTGATCTGTAACTAGGATAAAGAAATGTCCATATAAATATTCATTAAATTTATTTAAGCCAAAAATTATTGCAAGGACCTCTTTTTCAATTTGGGAATATTTTTGTTCGGACTTTGATAAGGTACGCGAATCAGAAGCTATAGATTTCTCAATATTTTTTTCAAAAACATGACATATCATGGCCCTTATTCCCACATTTGATGCATCTACGAATAATTTAATCGGCAACTCAGGCTGAAAATGCACAAGATCATCATTTGTTGTTAATTAATTTTTGATTTATTCAAAAGATTCCTTGCAAGAATTATCCCAAATCCATTTCACCCATGAAAAATAAAATTAAAAAAAGTCCTAAAGCAAAATCATATCCTCCTCTTAGTGACTTAAAAAAATTACTTCTCAAAAAAAAGTCCTCAAGCCAGGTCCCTCCATTTTGTGGCGATAGAACTGTTTTTTTTTTATTGTGATTATTTTCTTCGCGAAGCCCTCACACTTTGAGTACCACTGTTATAGAGAATTACTAAATAAATAGTTTTGAGAAAACTATTGGAACCAGTTGTCAAGTTTGAAACGAATAAATTGGCAATGAAATTGATATTTTTGTATTTGATTGTATGTTTCTCTTTTCACTTCCTAAAAAAAGATTCCCCATGAAACAAGAAATAATAAACAGTTTATATTAATAACCTTTATTTGCTACTTATAACATGTACCAATGACCAAGTCCGATTCTGTTTATTTTCAAATCAACAAATATGGACGTCGACAGAATCTTTAAAAATTAAATATCTCACCGAAATAAATGTAAGTTTCATTTATCTCAGTCACATTTCGCAGGTTTATTATAAATAAAGCTTTTTACAACACATCTTGGCATTTTCAGCGTTAATTTCCAAAATTTTAGTCACTAAAATACCAAATTAATTCTCGTTGACACATTAAATTTTGATGGACAACGCTCTGACATGTGATGTTCTCAACTGCGATTGGTGGGTGTGAATAATTTCGAAATGGGATTATGCGCAGTGTCTTATGTTCCATCTAAGGTTTGTATAATCTAAGGTTGTTACCTACTTTGTCAATTGTACTTAAGAGGTGATTTAGCTCAAATTGCTGATACTGCGTGAATTCATAAATTGACCAGGACAAATGAAATCAGAGTAGCTTGACCGGTTCGCGGGCCAAAGTCTACTTTATGATAAAATGAAAGATATTATAATACGATAACAACAAAAATGTTGAACGCCACCAAGTTTTTGAGTAACTTGGAAAATGTATCTGCTTTTATATGCCCTGTTTAATTGAGTCCGTCTCTGATACTTAAAGTTATCTGTATGAGTTCTGGCAAATAAGAGAAAGTGAGAAAATTTAATACATTTAATAAAAAAAAATAAAAAGAGTGAATTTATACAATATAAATTAATAGTTAGTGAGTAAACGTGAAAAATAATGAATTAAAATTGACTGATAGATAAAAAAATATGAATTAACCCTTTCGCGGACACCTGAAAATTTGTGGGTCTGCTCAAAAACGCACTATCAAAATTCACTTTAGTATAATAATTTAGATTTGATGATAAATAAAATTAGCAGTAATACTTAATTTTGATGTAATTTATAAAAAAAAGATTGCTTCTGCATCCGTCTAGTTCAGACAATATGGTCCGGACCTGACCCCTATAGTGTCTGTGCTTAGTACCAATATAGTTTTTTAGATATTGGTTTTGCAAATATAGGGGTGGCGTCTCTTGGAGAAGTCATCAACTACATATTATAGATTGAAGACGGCCCAGAGAGACACCTCTTAGTGACGTCATCTACTATATGGTGTAGTCTGGAGACGGTCTAGAGTGAAATCTCTTGGTAACGTCATAAACTACATGGTTTAGGCTTGCTGACGAGTCGAGAGATGGTTCACTGATTCGGGTATATGCACACTGGGTCTAGTGATGCCGAAGTGCTGTGAGCAAACCCAGTTTCCCCCATTTGTCAATAACAGATACAGATGGACCAGACCTTTATATCAATCACTATTACACAAAAAAATTACACTGGGCTAGCCCCCTACACCGTTTGTGGCTGAAAACGATTACGGAGCCAGTTTCCCCCATCGACACAATTATTTGCTACAGTCAGAGAAACTGATTGTTGATGATATTTTTTTATGGTTCCTCTAGCTGTGCCAAATAATCCTGACATGAGGGGGCAAACACACCCAAGAATCGTTTTCGACGATCCAAACAAGGGAAGAGAGAGAAAAGGGAAGGTTTGTGTAATAAAACTAAAAATTAGAAGAATAAATCAAAATATTCTTTATTATAAATTAAAACAAATTTTTAAATAAAAACAAACAGAATAAAAGTTATTACTTGAACAAAAAATTATAAAATGTTACATACTACAGCAATAATAGCTTTAGCACAGCTTATACAATACAGCTAAAACACTCTCTTGGCGGCAACGGTTTGCGTCGATTTCGTCGCGCATCGCTTAAGCTCCGCCTTCGAAGGGAAAAGACGATTTTTGGCGTTCAGAAGCGTACTTATGCAAGGTGTTGAGTCGTGCGTATAATTTCGTTGATTGTATAATTTCGTGGAGCCTATAATTTCGTTGATTTTGTTTGAGTTAAAGGTACTGTTATTATTTTGGTGACTCTTTAGCTGTGAGTAGAATGAGTTTGTGCAGTCAAAAGCTGTTTTAAT